AGGATAACAGTATAATAGTTTAATTCAAAGCCCACACAGATCCATTTGTGAGTAAATGCTGTCAGATGGCATTGGAACGAACAGTGCATACCTTTAAATTGATTTCCTTTTGATGTAACAAAAACATTGTACGAAAGAGATGCTGAAGCATGGCTTTTGATGTAAAGTAACAAAACTTACATTTCAAAGTAGAAATCCTTTTGTTGATAATAGTCTATGTGATTCAGTGCCATGTGCCAAGTACTTGCTGTAGGTTATAAATTAGCTTTGAACTGGCTGTAATTCATAAATCATTACTTATGACTGATTTATTGGAGATCTCATTAATTGCAGCAGCACAAAGACCTTGAAGTAAGCAAGAAGTAGAAAATACAACTAGATCTGAGGTTAGAAAAAGAGGAGACAGGTGCACAGTGTAAGTAATAATAGTATATCATATTTGCATATGTTTAATCCTAGTACATTCCTGATCATAGTAGTTTGTTGTACCACAGCATTGAATAAAAGGTATCATTGTTGCTCCCATATTATTGAAGAAAAAACCTAAATAACCATCACTTTATTTTTCATATGTACTAAATATGGTACTTTGATTATTATGAGATACTAACTACATATATTATGTAGGAGTCTTATCAAAATCTTTGAATGGAGTGCAATGTTGTTGTCCTATCCATGAAAGGGAAAGTAAAATACACAGAGGAGGAGTCACCTTCTGAATTTTAGAAACCCTGAGATGTGAGCGCAGTATGATGTGGAAGGTATGCGTGAGGAAGTTTCACGTCTTAGCCTTCTCTCTGGACCACTGTGTATGGCTGCCCTTCTTGTACCATATTTTAAACAGGGAAAAGCAACAAATGGCAGAGTAAAGACTGATGTTCTTCATTTCTTTGCCAATTCCATTCTGCCAATTATTTCAGTGGATATTGCTGGAGAAATTAAGATTCTAGTGAGGGCCATTGTGTGAGAGACAGGAGAAGGAAGGCAGAGCAGGGTCCTGGGACCCCAACTCTAAAATCATTAATTATACTTTGTGCATCAGGGAATTTCTAAGCATTTCTTATGCCTCATGGACTTAAGAAGTGTGTGTCTTGGGGGGAAATACATATGTACAACTATGTTTAAGTCACACAAATGAGAACTTTTCCATGGTGATGATCACTGGAAATTTAGATTCTTACTAAAAATAGAAACCTACAATAGCTTTTCAAAGCCATGTTTAAATTTACAATGACGGCCTGGCACGGTGCACACACATATAATCCCAGCACTCAGGAGGCTGAGGCAGGACGATCACTGTGAATTCGAGACCAGCCTGGGCTGCAAAGTGAGCTCAAGGCCAGCCTGAAGTGCACAGTGAGACCCTGTCTCAAAAAAACAAAATAATAAATAAAAATAAACATAAATTTACAGTGACAGATAATTTTCAATCCAACAGGTTTTGTCACAGTATGAATGTGACATGGGATAAGCCCATAAAGCCCAGTCACAGAATTAATGTAATTACTCAGACTTTGTTGTTTAGTGACATTCACACTTAAGATTTCCTTAGTATTCAGGTATGTTGAGGCCAGCAGGTCCAGAAAGGATGAGAGTGAAGGAATGTTTCCTACCCATGCTTCTCAAGGGGAGAGGCAGCATACCAAGGAGAGGCCATGTCATGGATTATCAGGAGAAAGAAAGACCAGAGGAAAGAAGGAAAAGAGCCTCTATTGTGGCTTATAAGTGAAGCCAAGATTGAAGTTTTGGCAGAATCTAGGATAGCAGGGCTGCCTTTTGCTGCCGGGTACCTTGTCGTGGGATACTCCAAATGGTGGGGTGCTAACTTGAATGTGAAGACCCTGTGAGAACTTGGTAAAGTATATGAGTTGGATATTGGTGTTGGATTGGTTGGTTTGCATGGGAAAGTCATGCTGGTAGGCAAATCTTTTACTATTTCTAGGGACAAGAGTAGTGCTGGAAGTGGCTGCCTCTTTGGGGTCAGTAAAGTCCCAGATATCAAAATACCAGAAGATGTAAAGCATCACTAAACATTTAGAACATGTCACTGTGTACATATGCAAGGAACTATAATTAGGCATTAACTCTTCAGCCCTTCTGAGTGGTCATCTTACTTACTACCCATTTTATGGAAGGCTTTGTAGGCAGAAGACTAAGAGGGGACCATCAGACATGGCCCTTGTGGTCTGTTTTCAGGCTAGTGGAGGAGAAAAGCCAAGAAGAAGCTGCCCAGAGTACCAGAAGGTGTGAACAGTCATGATAGAGCAGGGATAGCAAGGAGGTACACATGAGGAGGCCAAGAAGGTGAGCAGTAACTCAGACCCTATTCGTTAAGTTTCTTTGCTAGCACAGGAAGACACCGAAATAAGCATCTTTTCTACAAAACAATATAGAACTTGAAACATCACCTTCTTGAGATTAATGTTCCCTTCAGAATACTTGTGAACATGAGTATGTGTTTAAGGATTGCTAATGACAGCTGCTTTTCTTGAGAAGGACAGCTCCTATTATTAGAAAGAGCCGCCTTGCAATCTTGCATGTTATATAAGTGCAGCTATTTGCAAATGCTAATTTATACTGGTGATCTCAGAGCCAGGGAGGGTTATATCCTAAAGAGAAGCTAACTCTTTTTTTTTTTTTCAAGTCCTCAATTTTAGACATGGAAGTTATGACTGTGAAAGTGGCCCTTTTTTGATATTGTCTTCTCCCCAAGGGTCATTGGGAACAAATGAAAGATCTTCCTACCACTTGCTCTTGCTACTAGTTTTTTCCAAAATTTTCATTTGTGACAACCCAGACTCATTCCCTGAAAATAAAGCTGAAAGTGGCATTCTTTTAAAAACAACCAATTTCATGCAAGATGAAATCAGGATTCTTAAATTTAACATAACCACACATCAATGGTCTAGTGCCAACTGCATCCCAGCTTCCTGTCCTAATCTCTTTTCCAGTCCTATTTTCCTGTTACAGGAAATAGCCACTGTTCCCTTGATACACTAGTGTCTTTCGCATGTCCTTGTACTGGTTCAGGTTGATACCTCTACCTACGACTCCTTCCTTTCCTTTCTTCACTGATTCTTACAAAATCTACATCAGCTCACTCTTTTTTAAGCCATACCTTCCTAATTTTCCAGCACATATTAATTTACTCTGACATTAGTACTTTTGTACCAATATGGTCTTGTTTCATTTCAATGAGCATGCATTATTGCACTTCATCTGTTTGCTATCTGTCTCATCTTTTGAATTAAAATTCCCTCAGGGACAAGGATTCTATTTTTCATCTTTATACACCCAGTGCTTAACATGTCTATCTAAGAGAAACAACAAAAACAGATTAACAATAATAAGAAGAACATCTCACATTTACTGAATACTGGCAACATGGAAGGCATTATTTAAACTCCCTACCTGCCTTAACTAATTTCATCCTCACAATTCTAAGAAGTGTGTCATACTGTCATTCCCATTTTCCAAAAGAGGAGATGTGATTGAATCACAGAAAGGATATTTAAGTTGACTAGCATGACAAAACCAGTACTAAATTAGTACATTTTTGTCACAATGTGGTAAGCTACCTACTATCAAATTCCCTTCTTATTCTTGCCAAAAGATTCTTAGACAAGACTCTGCATATTGAGATAAAAGATTTAGACTGACATGAAGGAAAGTTATTGCATAGGAGTCCAGTCAATGATAAGTCAGTTGAGTGGGAAATATTTTAGGTACCACTTGCTCCTTAGGAAGTCCTCCTTGTGCTGAAAATGATGGCGCATATTAGTTACTTTATTTCCTGTGTACAAATCTACTTAAAATCAGTAAAACTGGGGACACGAAGCCTATTTGTCTTATTGTACTATTTTTCTGAATAAGAAAATTGCATTTCTTGAGAGATGATTTAATATGTGACCTGTCTGCCTAGAGGTAGCTGTTGGATGTATTGTAATGAATTTTGTGTGTGTTAATTTATAGATGTTTACGTGCAGATATGCATGTTTCTGTTTCAGGACCTCTTCACAGGTACCAGAAATTAAGATGCCAGCGCTTACAACTGAGGTCACTCCCTGAGGAAAGATATTTTAAAGAAATTAATTGTGAAAAGTACTTTGCCTTTACCTTTGTTCTTACAGCAAGATTTCCATGGAGGGTTTGAAATCACAGTGCTCTGGGGACTAATTTGGCGAGCTATCATCTCTGAGCTCTGCCTCTGTGCTTGCTAACCATACAGATGCTTGCACGCTCCTTTTTCTATGATTGCATTTCTTCTTCTTGAAAAGAAAGCTTTGGCCAATGATAGTTTGGTAAATGATCGTTCCTGTACTAGAGGAGAGCTATGAGCATTAAGAAAGATCACAGGCGGCTCTGTGGGGATGCACTTGCATTTGTGAAGCAACCCATGTTAAGAAGAGCTCTTATTGGTGACTCTTCCTCTGTCACTGATTTTAAATTCTTAAATATAGCAAGTCATTTCACACTTTTACTTTGCACTGGGTCCTGCACATTATGTGGTCATTACTGAACAAGACTGTGTGTGAATTCTGCAGGCTATGGTGCTTGGCACATGCAATAATGTTCAATGAAATGTCAGCCATTACTAATTTTGTGAAAGAGCTTTTAGTTTTTTAGGTGCATCCACAAAGTTCTGTTTTCTGAGCTTTTTCAGTCTGGTGTGGATTCTGAAACAAATAGTGAAGTTCATCTCATATGTGCTCATGGATTTGGGTGACACTTGGTAAATACATTAGGACCCTCTGCCTCATTGGTGCAATTCTTTGTGATTACAGATATGATGGAATACAAACTGAGATAGCTGCTAATTTGTATGACAGGAACATTTTTTTTTCAATAAATGGCCATGTAGCTCAGTCACAGATATTGGAATTGTCTCTTTTAGTCTGACAAATAATGGCTTTCGCTGATAATGTACATCACTGATATTACTCCAGAAAGACATTTGGAGAAAGATCTAATACTCTTCTCTTGCTTTTATTATTTTTCAGACAGTTTGAACTCCAGAAGGACCAGCACCAGATAAATTATGAATGTTGAACAAGATGACCTTACATCCACAGCAGATAATGATAGGTCCTAGGTTTAACAGGGCCCTATTTGACCCCCTGCTTGTGGTGCTGCTGGCTCTTCAACTGCTCGTGGTGGCTGGTCTGGTGCGGGCTCAAACGTGCCCTTCGGTGTGTTCCTGCAGCAACCAGTTCAGCAAGGTGATTTGCGTTCGGAAAAACCTACGTGAGGTTCCAGATGGCATCTCCACCAACACGCGCCTGTTGAACCTTCATGAGAACCAAATCCAGATCATCAAAGTAAACAGCTTCAAGCACTTGAGGCACTTGGAAATCCTTCAACTGAGTCGGAATCATATTAGAACCATTGAAATTGGGGCCTTCAATGGTCTGGCCAACCTCAATACTCTGGAACTATTTGACAATCGTCTTACTACCATCCCCAATGGAGCTTTTGTATATTTGTCTAAACTGAAGGAGCTCTGGTTGCGAAACAACCCCATTGAAAGCATCCCTTCTTATGCTTTTAACAGAATCCCTTCTTTGCGTCGACTGGACTTAGGGGAATTGAAAAGGCTTTCATACATCTCAGAAGGTGCCTTTGAAGGTCTCTCGAACTTGAGGTATTTGAACCTTGCCATGTGCAACCTCCGGGAAATCCCTAACCTCACACCACTTATCAAACTGGATGAACTAGATCTTTCTGGGAATCATTTGTCTGCAATCAGGCCTGGCTCTTTTCAGGGGTTGATGCACCTTCAAAAACTCTGGATGATACAATCCCAGATTCAAGTGATTGAACGAAATGCCTTTGATAACCTTCAGTCACTGGTGGAGATCAACCTGGCTCACAACAATCTAACATTACTGCCTCATGACCTCTTCACACCCTTGCATCATCTAGAGAGGATACACTTGCATCACAACCCTTGGAACTGTAACTGTGACATACTGTGGCTCAGTTGGTGGATAAAAGACATGGCTCCCTCCAACACAGCTTGTTGTGCCCGGTGTAACACTCCTCCCAGTCTGAAAGGGAGGTACATTGGGGAGCTTGACCAGAATTACTTCACATGCTATGCCCCAGTCATTGTGGAGCCTCCTGCAGACCTGAATGTCACTGAAGGCATGGCGGCTGAGCTGAAATGTCGAGCTTCCACATCCCTGACATCTGTATCTTGGATTACTCCAAATGGGACAGTCATGACACACGGGGCTTACAAGGTACGGATAGCTGTGCTCAGCGATGGTACATTAAATTTTACGAATGTAACCGTGCAAGATACGGGCATGTACACGTGTATGGTGAGTAATTCTGTTGGAAATACTACTGCTTCAGCCACCCTGAATGTTACCGCAGCAACTACTACTCCTTTCTCTTACTTTTCAACTGTCACAGTAGAGACTATGGAACCTTCTCAGGATGAAGCACGGACCACAGATAACAATGTGGGCCCCACTCCAGTGATTGACTGGGAAACGACCAATGTGACCACCTCTCTCACGCCACAGAGCACAAGGTCAACAGAAAAGACATTCACCATCCCAGTGACTGATATCAACAGTGGGATCCCAGGAATTGATGAGGTCATGAAAACCACCAAAATCATCATTGGGTGTTTTGTGGCCATCACACTTATGGCTGCAGTGATGCTGGTCATTTTCTATAAGATGAGGAAGCAGCACCATCGGCAAAACCATCATGCTCCAACAAGGACTGTTGAAATCATTAATGTGGATGATGAGATCACAGGGGACACGCCCATGGAAAGCCACCTGCCCATGCCTGCTATAGAGCATGAGCACCTCAATCACTATAACTCTTACAAATCTCCCTTCAACCACACAACAACAGTTAACACAATAAATTCAATACACAGTTCAGTGCATGAACCGTTATTGATCCGAATGAACTCTAAAGACAATGTACAAGAGACTCAAATCTAAAACATTCACAGTTACAGAAAACAAACAATCAAAAACAGACAATTTATTAAAAATGACACAAATGACTGGGCTAAATCTACTGTTTCAAAAAAGTGTCTTTACAAAAAAAAGAAAAGAAATTTATTTATTAAAAATTCTATTGTGATCTAAAGCAGACAAAATTATGTGTATTCCTCAGAACCTGTTCTTGCTGCACTTATTTACTATTTTCCCCCATCTCATCCCTCCCTTCCCTGATTGCCATATTTTTCATAGATCTCAACTCCCTAAAGAACTGGTCTAGGAAATTTTGTAAGAATTCTGTTACACTTTGAGATTTTTATGGTGAATTCTAGTGGTGAGGTCCCAGTCCATTCTCTCAATCTCTTTCTGTCTTTATTCTTTTCTTTCTTTTTCCTTCATGCCTTTATGAAGTAGTCCAATGGGGAATGCAATATTAGAAATAGATTTTTAAGAAAGAATGAGGAAATGCAAGATCTTATATTTTTCATGTAATGACCTGTGCTGTATTTATAAGGAGGACCATTCTATGAAAGAAAAAAAAAGCAAAGAACAGATTAATTCACATTTGAACATCGATAAAACCCATGACTTTTAAACAACTCTAGAACCAGAATTTGTAGTTCAAAAGCTTAAAATATGATTATAAATAAAATATTGTTGGTTTTTCTGTACCTGGACACAACTCATTTGTAGTATGGTGATTAGATCTCCTCCATTCTAACAAAGAAAATACTACAGTATTCTTTAGACAGTGTCCATCTCTACTGGGTTCTGCTTCACTAACTGACTTGAGTTTCAGATCAATATTAAAGGATGCTGTGGTATTTTTCCCTTCTCATTAGGATTATCCTCTGTAGAATACATAGATTCAAAAATAGTGATTTTGTGAAGTAAATTCAATTCCACTTGAAAGAAAATATTAGTATAATTTATTTACTGTCTTCTAAATAAAAACTCACTGGCTAGATGAAATGTGACCCCAAAAGGTGAAAATTTTCTAAATTATCTACAGTCAGAAAACAATGTTTGGTTCTGCGTGTTAGAAATTTAGTTCAACAATAACTATGGAAGACTTACTATGTACAAAACACTAATTTTGGTATTGTGGGTACACAAATAAGGCCTGGTTCCTACCCTTGAATAATTCTCAATCTATTTTAAAAATGATTAAAGAAATAACCCCTGTTTTTTTTTTATTAGAGGTCACCTCTCATTTAACTGTTAGGTGGATAAGTGGTGTATTGAAACTCTGACATTTCAAAATGTCAGGTCATTATATTACATAAACCTCCTGCCATGCTAGTTTTCATTCATTTAATTTTCCAAATGCAGATTCCTAAACTATAAGGAGGTATGTGTGTCAATTTACTCTGAAGGCTAGATGGATACATACCAGAAGTCAGAAATGTTTTTTTTCCAAGGTCACCAAAGTTAGTCCATTTCAGCAATCCCAGTGTTAAATTCATTTTCTTACAGACCCATCACATCCAAATTTATTCAGAATTACTAGAAGTCCATAAATTGGTTTAATTGAGAAAAAAAGACCAGCAACCTGATCCTAAGGTAAAGGAGTAGGTTAAGAAAATCTAAATAATGTTTTACTTATCTGTTCAAAAACACCCCCCTTCCAAACACCACCAAAACAAACACTGTACCCACACCTGTAGAATGGGCTAGTATATTTCTGACATGTTGGGGCACCCTTTCCCCTTCAGGAGAAGCATAAATGTTTCCAGTTCCAGGAAACAGCTGGAGACAGCAACGTTAATACAATGTTAACATAATTCATTAAGGGATATTTTGAAGGAAGTAGGAGAAGATTTAGATAGGAGAACACATATTAGCTTCCAAGTAAAACTGGGATCTTTTGGTGGTAGATCTCAGCACTTTACTAATATTTAAATACATGATGTGTGTGGCATCTGTCTTTTTTCTGTGTAGTGAAATATGTATGTCTTATCACTGGTCTTGAAACCTGACACCTTGGTGATGAAATAAGAATCGACTAAACTGAAGAAATCTTCAGCCCCTAATGGACGAACAGTGTGGATACGCACATTTAATTCTGCAGGCTGGACCACATGCTAGGGTTTTGTGGCCTCCAGGTGTGAAAAATCAATCATTACTACCAAAGTAGGTCAGAGAAATGTGAGGTGGGGATAGCAAATGAATGAGAACACACAATACTTTTGCTTCTATTTCTTGATTGCCCATTCTTTGGGTTTTTTTTTTTTTCCTTCTTCTACTTGCCCTTGTTAGATACATAATTTGCATTTGCTTTTATACTGAGATGGACACAGGCAATCAGAAAGAACACGTTAACTGTCATTTGTGGATTTATTCATTATTGCATATATTTAATACTGTGTTCCTGAACTGCAGATCACACACACACACACACACACACACACACACACACCGCTCCAGGAATATCTACAAGGGCAAGCAAGAGCTAGTACAAAGAGCGCTATAAACTAAGAGAGAAAGGGACTTATCCTTTTTCTCCTTTTCTGGTTGGTTTGTGCTCACCGAATTCTGTTTACAGACTCTAAATCTGTTTCATTTTGACCTTATAATTCTTAGAAAGTTGGTCACAGCATGAAAGTCCTCTTGTCTGTCAGCAGTGACTGAGCTGTTAGGTAAATTATGCTAAATAGAATAAAAGAGGAATTTGCACCAAAATAGCTCAGAATCTAAAGCGTATGATTGAGATCACAAGCAGATTATAGTAGTTCTAATGAACACATTTTTAAAAAATGTATTGATGATAAATTAACTTAGCCAGACTGATTTTGATGGTACAATTAGAAATTCTTCTGAGAAAAGATTTGGAGGGGAAGGACCGAAGAGTATAAAAATCCTATTTGAAGAAAACTGAAGTGAATTCTAGATACTTTTTGATTAACTGTGTGTCTGTATTCACCATCAGTAGCGGACCTGACTTGTCGGAGATATACATACTGTGGATTTAGTTGGATCAGCAAAAATCCTGTATGATGGTTTACACATCTGGTATACTCCTACATCAAAACACAGTCACGTCTTCTGATCTGTTTATGCTATGTCAAGGCAAATGGGTGGCTGTATCCTGAAACGTGCACTAAAATTATGCCGTTTTCAATGAAACATAAGAAACCCACTGTGTGTGTGTGTGTGTGTGTGTGTGTGCATGTTTGTGTATGTGTGTGCATGTGTATGCACGTATGTATGTGTACTTCCTCATGATTGATGGTTATGGTATGCAGATTGTTTAGGAAAACATCAAAACTGGTTTATAAACATTCTTCAACATCTTTTTCTGTTTAAAACTTACTTTTCATACTTGGCTAATACCTGGGTCTCTCCAACTCCTCTCAACATGTCCAGATGTATTTGTGTTGACAAACTCACACAGATATATCCTAGTATAGCCTAATTTTCCCCCATAATACAAATTTTAAAAAATAAATTAATCATATTTTCCAAAGATTTAATTAGATCATTTCATTATGAAATGGTGATCTATATTTTTAAAATCTGGCATCTGGTTGCCTTTAGGGTTTATCATCAAAGAATTCAAAATCAACATAATTAGCATATTGTTGAAGACTGTACAGTATGAAATAAATAATATGGATATACTGTAAAGTAACATAAACAATGGAAGGGTTATTTTCCTGAAAGAAAATAATTTTTTTAATAAAAGGACTTTATTGGCACATGAAAAAATAAGTGGGTGACCCCAGTGTGTGCAACAGTTCCAAGAGAAATATTGATCAAGGAGTAAGAAAGTTTTGGTGTCTTATCCTTCTGGAAAAATCATAGAGATATTGATCACAGAGATATTTGGAGAAACAGAAGATTTAGATAGTACTTATAAACAATGTTCTGAAACTATAATTTTAAATAGTTTATTTAATTGGTTATTTGGTGCTTCAGTTTACTAGTTTTAATAAAGAGCTTGGAGATAATGTTACCATTAAATATCAGTGCTAAATAAAAATAAATAAATAAATAAATAAATAAATGAATAAATATCAGTGCCAAGGCTGGAGGAGTGCCTCAGTGTATAGTGCTTGCCTAGCACGTGGAGAACCTTGTGTTCAATGCCCTGCACAACACAAAGAATTCAAAAACAATAAGTAACAATAAGTAAATACCTGAGTTATAAGTAAATGTGTATTTTGAAGCCATTCTTTGGTTTCTTATGCAATATAAGAGCATGGAGTCAAATATTTACCAAAGCGTCTCTCCCAAAATGATATGTATACATGATTATATTTGATTAGAATATGATTTCTGTGCAGCAGCTACTTCTGATAAAAGTGAGTCTAAAATTTGCCTTCCAAAAACCTACATTCCTTTTATTCTCTTCTTTCTTTGCATAAAAGGAAATATGAGTTCTCCAACACTATGTATGCAAGAGGAAACAGTTGTGCTACTATTGTTTTCTTGTCTTCTATTAGGAAAGAGAAAAAGATACATCTGGTTTTATAAGAGACAAAAAAAATTATAAAATTAATATACCATACTGTCAATTAGGATCCAAATTTAGGTCTTGAATGATACATTTCCCCAACACATACCAGATTGTATCATTCTGTTTCTTAAATTGCTACAGACAGAATTCCTGAGATTTTAACCCTGCTTACTATTACTTGAGAAATTTATACAAATTTTACATAAATTTATATAAGTAAATTTTACAACAAACATTAGAAGTACTAAGCAAAATTACTACTTGTTTTGCTCTTGCCAGTGATAAAGAAGACCAAAAAATATGAAGTGTTGCTGCAAGACAAAAAAAAATGCATGAAGTTATTTTAATGAAAACATTGGAGAAATCCTTCTGGTTTGTAAACTGTTACATGTAGTAAATGATCATAAGCACAGCATACAGAAAACAAGAACTTAAAAAAGTTCAAATCAGGAAGATTTACCTTTCAATGTTCAGTCCAATAATTTAGTTTTATTTTCTTCACTTTATTATGCATTTGATACTTACTTGTTAGACACAACTTGTACAAGTAACATCAAATAGGTCATCATCAGCTCCCAAATGTAGTGAATAGATGAGTCATTATCTAGAAGAAAGGAAAAAACACAATTTTGTTTAAAGAGGGGCAGACATTTCTGTTAAGAGGGAAATTCATTCTGATCTATTATCTCTAAGCCTGAGAGCTTCTCATAAAATCCACCTAATTCAACTCTAGTTCGGTAATCATGATGGATACTGCATCTGGACACCTCGATAGTTACTGGGTTAATATGTCACTTAGACTTCAGAGTGACAATTAGTTAACCTCCTTAATCTCCAACCCATATTTATATATTAAAAGAAGTTTTTTTTTAAAAAAAAATGTAAAACACCTGTCACTGTTTAGAGTTGTTAGTTTTGTAAAATTTATAGTTCTCTAAAAATATAAATGAATCCTTAGTCTCATAGAACATATTCAAATATACACAAAATATTTGTGTGTTTTACTATATGTGTTTTACATATATTTTTATGGAGCTACATAAAATTTTACATCAAATAACTTCTAGCAGTCTTGGGTTTCCTTACTAATGAAATCATGAAAATTTAGCATTAAAATTCATAAAATGCTTTCAGGTCAAGTGTTGACATGGACTTTATAGCTGCATGGCTAGTTCCATTAAAAATAAAAACTTCACAAAATGAAAGACACAA